TGTCTTTCCTGCTGGCACTGCACAGGACAGTGTCTTGTTGAGACACAACTGAATCAATAAACTGCTTTTCCTGGGGATGCTCTAGCTTTCTCCAGCTGTTTCTCAGCCACTGTGTCCTTAGAGCCCAGCAGCCCAGAGCTCAGTCTGCTACATGCTCCAGCCAATCCCCTAGGGCTTTGCCATGACCAACCTGGGCAACATCTGTGAACACAGTGTCTGAGATGCTCTCACACAGCGTGGCCACAAGCTGCAGGACCAGCAGCTTCCTCTTCTGCCTGGTGTGGTACTGCTCCAGCTCCAGAAGGCTCTCTCCAGGCACTGCACCCAAGTTCGAAGCCACCTCGTCCTCTGCAGCCACATGAGTCAGTGCCTGCAGGGAAGGAAGCACAGGACATGGACAGGTAGCAGTTAGATACAGGCAAATCCACATCAGGAACACTGTGGTCATCATGCCAGTAGTCCTGGGTACAGCAGGTCTATGTTACCCAAACCTCCATGCTGCTGCAAAGGGTTCCTGGTTACCTCCCTTCTTCCAGCCTTGTCCACTTCCAGATGCACAACTGTCACCAGGCCAAACCCTCACAAATCTCCATGGACACCACACAGAGCACCACTGAGCACTTGTCCTAGGGCAAACCATCCTCTGGGCTGTGAGGCTGGCTGGGGCTCTGCTGGCAGCCTTGCTTTTGGCAGTGGCTGCTCACAAAGGCACCCAGACACCCCCCCTCCCCTTTGCAGAGCTCATGTTGACTCCTCATGCAATCAGGACCTTCCACTCAGTACAATCAAGGTCTCCAAGAGCTACCCACAGCTCCTGTGTCCCCCACCTCTATCACAGCAGCATCCCTACTCCCACGATGTTGCAAATCCTGTGTGACTGTGGGCTGGGGCTCCATCTGGAAGCAAGGGCACACAAAATACAGCCCAGGCACAGCCAGGAGGGAAGCGCAGGGACTCTGACAAACACCACAGTGAGCAGGTGCCTGGGCCCCTCTGCTAAAGACAAGGAACCAACAGGGATTATTCATGGCCTTAAACACACCATTAAACTTCAGACATGCTCCAGTTGTCAAAAGAGACTAGGGGGAACAAGGGTTAACCCCTTCAGGGACATCAGGGCTGCCTCCCTCACCTATGCTGTTCTGCCCAGGACAGCAGTACGGCTCCAATACATGCAGTAGTCTGGTTCTGAGCTCCCAAGCCACGTAAGGGGACCACTGGTCTCCTTTCTCATGTGCCACACAGACCACTCGGCCTGGGAAGCTGTTCCTGCAGATGTGCCTGCCCTTACCTTCAGGCAGCGGATGAAGAAGTCTCCAGCTAGACCACTCTTCTGGCAGTAAGACAAAAGCTCCACCAAGTTCTCCACACGGCACTGCTCCAAGGAAATCTTCTGGTAGAGGGCCTCATCTTCATCACTGAAACAAGTCCCTGTGTCACCTACATGAATGTACCCAGAGTTTTTCCAGGGCTGGTTCTAAATTACTCCATGGCAAGGTGAAATCCTGCTTCTGCACTCCTGGAAACCTTCCTTCTCAGCTGTACCAGAAAGCAGAAGCCTGGAGGCACCTGAGCCAAACCATTGCTCAGTTCATTTGGTCTATGTGATCACACACTCAGTTCATTAATTAACTTGCATTCATTAAAGGAGTAACATTGCAGAAGCCATGAGCACAACACACCTTTAACTCAGGCACCCTACAAAGAATGGGATTAGCTCTGGCTAATTCATGCAGTGGTCATAACCGTAAAGTAGGACAGACATGGGCAGAGCCATGCCTGTTAAGGAGTAATTTTAAAGTATACCCAGTTTAACCAGTGCAGAGCTGCTTCTAATTCAGGCCAGGAACACCTTGAAATGAAGCCAGAACAAGTGTATTTGTACAGGGTTTGGTTACAGACACTCCTGGGTGGGAGCCGTGTGCTCTGCCTGCTCGATCGCACTGCCTTGGGCTCATACCTGCCAACTAACAGCTACCCCTCTTGACAGCAAATGCCACACTGTTGAACAGTCCCAGTTTGCCTGGCTGGAGTCTAATGGCTGCAGTTTATTCCCCACATGGCCATGCTCTGCCTCTACTTATAGAGACCATCTGCAGGAGCAGGAGGGGAGTTCAGGTTTGGCATCACTGGAGTTCCTGCTGCTGTGGTGCCACCTGTGCATGAGGGATTTCACTCATACACACAGCCATGATCTGCCATGAGGCAGGCTCAAGCTGGAGGGTGGAAGTTGAATCTGGGGAGCATCAGGACTGAAGCAGCATGTCCCATTCCCAGACACCCTTCAGGCAGGACTTGGGACTCAGAACGAGCACAATGAAAGCACACACTAACACTCAGATAGAACGTGCTGCTTTTCAGGGGTGCAAGTCAGAGCTCTGTGCTGTGTACAGGGAGCCCAGAGACAAGAAACATCACCTGTCCAAGCTCAGAGCAGACAGCAGCTATCTGTGTGGCTGAGGGGACAAGACTGTGGTGGGACATCACTGGCAGCCCCACACTCACCAGGCACTCACCACATCTCTACCAGGCATAAAAAGGCACCATGAAAAGTCCTATGTGCTAAATGATGCCTAGGTACTGCCCCAACAGCACTCACCTGATGGTGTCCTCCACTGCGATGGTGGCACCACCTTCACTGCCCGCACGGAACTGGCACCTTGGGTGGAGGGTGGGCACGATGCTATTGAGCCCTGCAAAGCCCTCCAGCACTGCCAGCGACACCTCCCGCTCTGACTTCTCCAGGAACCACAGCAGGATGTCCTGGCACGGGGAGCTGGCAAGGAGAGAGCAAGCAGTGGTGACCTTTCTCTGCCCGCTGCACCCCAGCACTGCAACGGGACCATGCACCTCAGGGTGAGGGAAAGACAAGAGTTCTCTGCATTGACCACGGGCACCCCTTGGGATGCTCTGGATGACAGTTCTGTCAGCTGAAGGCATATGAGCAAGTTTATAAGGGGATCAGCAACACCTCCTGTCCTTCTGGCATTCCCAGATGGAAGGATTTGGGTCCCTCAAGATTTCAGCCCTGTGAGGAAGGGAGCACTCTGTTTGAACAGCGTGTCTGTACAAGGACAGCCACTTCCACACAGCCTCAGCATGCTGTGCCCGGTGCTTCGTGCCAACATGACAAAGCACAGAGCTGTCAGCTATGCCAAGAAGGGGAGGAAGGAGACGGGGAGCACTGAAAGGTGGCGTGGGAACCCTTGCCAAGGAAAGATGCAGGTTAATGAGGTGGAGTAGCAGTGCTGCGCTGCGCCAGGGGTCTGGAAACATGAATGCTTCCAGGCAGCTGTGGTTTTAGTTACCCCTGCCAAATTCCTTTGCAAACAGAGAAGCGAGCAGTGACTCTGTTCACCCAGCAGCGGTGTTAACTTGGCTTGTTCTCCGGACTTGCCACAGCAGTCACTACTCTTTGAAGTGATTAACGATGTCTTTAATAATAGCAAAGGCTGTGTCTACACAGACCTTTTAGGGAAAACCTACAGCACCCACATGCAGGTATCACCAAAGCAAAGCGTAAACCCACCAGGAGTGATTTTACTAGCCTGGTCCAAACTCAAGGCAGCCCAGGGAAAGCCTGGGAGGGGAAAGGATAGAGGACAGCCAGCACCAGGTCACCTCTGTCCCTGCCACCATGACTGACACAAGTGGTGCTTACCATCATACATCAGTCACGGGGGAGCTGGACACAGTGTGAGGGACAGCTATGCATCAGAGGAGAGTGATCCCAGATAGGAGAAGAACAATCTTGTATTTCCAAGAGCTCAAGCTGTTTTATCCTGTTCCTAGATCCCTGGTACACACTCAGCCAAGTGTCACCATCTTCATCCACACACAGTCACAGTCCTTGCAGGCACTAAGAGTTAAGCCGTGCTCGTGAGGCTCCCACAGGGCACATTTGCCTCTACACCAAACATTTTGGCTTCAGGGAAGACAAAAACTAATGTGAGAGCTGCTTCCTTGGGCACAGGTCTACCAGTAAGGTTGTGCACTGTGCCTCTGCCTGCGGTTACTGCTTACTTTGAATGAGACCTCTTCAGGATGAAAGAACTGGTCTCGGCTACTGTACGTGCCCATATAGAGCATGTCTCTTGGAGGTGGGCAGAATAGAGAAGATGAAACCCCAAGAAGGAGCTGTGTGCAATCCTTCCTTACCGTAAGTATGACACATTCTGCTTGGCGAAGGAATAGAGGGAAAAAACCACTCCCAGGACTGACTGTAAGGATCCCAGCAGCAGGCTCAAGCTGTCATTTCCAACCACATACACCTACAGAGAGAAGGGCACAGGGAGGAGAGTCAAACACCTGCATGGAGTAGAAGGAAGGCAAAGGGAAAGACAAAGAACGTCTGTGCACAGATTGGCTGCTGCCACAGAGGATGGCAGAGGAACAGCCTCTGTTCCTTTCTGTCTGGAGCCTGTTTTCCGTGATTATGCCATATTCTGTTTTAAAAGCAGCCTTCAGCACCATCTTTCTCCTAGCATTTGCTTAACCACAGCAGGGCTCCAAGCTACAGGAACACTGCAGCCAGCTCTTCAGGAAGTCTGCTGCTTAGGGGTAAGGTCTTGTGTTAAGAGAGATGCAACAGGCACCTCTGAATTAGCCAATCTTTATGTAAATACTGCACTTAGGGCCAAATCTCAAATACAGAGATCAGTCCCTAGCAGGGCAGCTGGGCTGACATGTGCTGAGCCAAGCAAGTGGGTTGCAGGGGCTCTAAGGAGGTTTGTAGGGCTATGTTCCTCTCCTCCATCTCAAGCAGCACTCTCCCAAAATATGGTCAATGCCCTCCTCCACGAAACCAGCACACCCTTCCCAGGCAAGCCACTGCTACCAGCTCACTGCACACAAGTCTTACCTCGCTGCCCACAGAGCAGAGACAAATGCTCACAGGAGTCTTATGACATTGTATTTTCTTTTGAATCCTTTTAAAGGAATTGTCTGAAGCCAGAAGCCAGGTAGGATGCTTTCAGTCATAGCCATAATACTGGGAAAACTTGGTCTAGAAAATGGTTAAACACCAATCCTCACCCAGCTGGACAGGCACTGATGTGTTCAGCTTCCCATTTTATCAGGTTCTACCTCCCCCTGTATCTTTTAGCTTTGAAAAAAGCATGGTGCATGGAAATAAAATCTTTTCACCAGTTCTCTAAGGGATTTCCAGCTGTGTTAGCTGGTGAGCTACCTGTTCAGAACCTGGTGTTCCTTCACACCAGACTGCTTCCCTCAACTCCAGCCTCTGCAGCTGGAGAATAATCCCTGTTCCAAGGCTGAATGTGCCCAGGGGACAAACCAAAGAGCTTTTACCTGCCCCAGGCAGTGTGACAACCCAGGTAGGAGGGCTAGGAGGGAGATTGTCCTGATAACATTCTGCCCTGCTGTATTGATGCAAACAGACTTTTTTTCCTGTGCTAATCCCTGTGGAGCCATTCTTCCTAACCAGAACCTTTTGTACACAAAGCCTCCCTGATGAAGCCCCAAGGATGGTTTCTCACTCAGCATCAAATGACACTTGCCAAGCAAGAAACCCCCACAAATCCACAGGCTGAAGTCTCCGTCACTAATCTGGCTGCTGTCAGGCCTCCAGCACTATGCCATTAAGGAGGGATCCGCCCCAAACTCCCCCAGCACTCATTGTGAAGGGAGCCACAGAGCAGCCCTCCAGACTGGTCTCTGCCTGCCAGCTAGTTATAACAAATCATTACTACACAAAATACTACAACAATCACAGCATTTAAGAGCTTAGCCTGCCTAGGGGCATGCCAGTAAGCAAGTCACCAGCTTTTTAAAATTGAATTCCTGGTCTGGAGATGTCCTTCTGGGTTGGAACGCGCAGCAGAGAGCTGGGCTGCTGTCAGGGCAGGCAGCAAAGCCTGCAGTGTGGTGCTGGTGGGAATGGCAGAAAAAGGAGCTGTGCAGGAAGGTTTCAGAAGAGTGTTTTCCTCCACAGAAAGCCCTGTTCCTTCATAAGGAGCACAAGATGGACCCTATCTCTTCTTCAAACACCAGAGCCAAGATCTACACTGCTGAACACCCTGTTTGTTACTCCAAGGCACCTCTTGCAGGAAGGAGCTCCACAGAAGGTGCTAAGCCTGCACCATCCTGCCCCACAAGGCACTTCCAACACACAAGGTGGTCTGTTACTGGCAAAGCGAAAGTGCTTCTCTGATGAGACCCAAGTTTCCTTCCATTTTCCTGTATTCTCATCATCCCCCAGCACCTGATCTGGGCTGGGAGAGTTGCTGAGCTCCAGCAATCCCTTCTGCTTCAGAAGATGGACACACAAACCAGCTCCAAGGCCCCACCACTGCCTCCAGGTACTGTTCTGCACCACAGGCAGCTCCAGAGAAGGTGGCTGGACACCAGCAGGTACTGAAGGATTATCCACCCAGTTTTAAAATGGATTTCATGCACATGGAAACCCATGTGTCACAAGGTTTGGCTCAGAATGGTCCCTGCAAAACAGGACACTAATTTTTCCTTACGTATCATTGTCAATCTACTTTCCTTGTCTAGCAGGACTACAGAGACTGTAATGCCCTTAGCTACCTGATGAACCACTGGGGACACCCCATGGGGACCAGCAGCAGTGTCCTCCCCTTTCTGGGACACCTGAGCTGAGGACACAGCCACTCAGCATCTCTCCTGTGGCTGAGCTGCTGCCCACCCTCCCTTCCTCATACCCACTGGCTGCTTCCTAACAGCAGGCATCAGGATAACTGTGCCAGCTCTCTCACCTCTCCCCATGGCTCTGCAATGCCTCCAAGCTCACCTTCACTCTCTTTTCTCCCCAGTAACAGCTCAGCAGCCTCAGAGCCGCACTGAATCTGCTCGTTTCATGGCACCCCCTGCGAATGCCTTGCTGCCAACTGGCTGCACAACCAACGAGCCAAGCCAGGGCCCTGCCAAGCTGCCCTCTCTGCAGGGCTGAGCAGCCCAGCACAAGCAGCCACTTGCTGATACCTCGAGTGCCCTCTTTTCCAGGTCACTCATTCAGAAGCATTCTGGCCCAACACAAGAGCTGGCTGCCATTCATACCTCTGTGAGGGATTAATGCTGCAGGAGCTGTAGAGAGGCTTCAGCTCCAGCAGTGGCTCAGGCTGCCCTCTGCAGACCTCAGAGGCAGGGAGAACAGCTCACAGAATTCCTGGGAATACCCTCCCTCCCACACAGGTAACACAGGGCTCAACGTGAGCCATATTATTCATGCTCTACAAGAAGGAAACTGAGGTAAAGGCACTAAAAGGAAGGGGACCAGCGACAGCCTGGGAGGAGAGCTCAGGCATCTTCTGAAGATTCAGCACTTGCAGATTCCCTGCAATTTGTCCTTCCCTCTGACCAGCTGCACAACTCTGATGCTGGAAGGTGAGCAGCAGCATCACCTCAGATCAGGACTGACAGCCCGAGGCAACGTGTGCCAGGCCCATGGAACTCTTGACTAGGGCCTCCTGCTGTGCTGCAGTCCTACAGAAGCTGCATAATTCAGCAATGCTCACAAAGTCTTGCTGCAGCTCATGGAGAAAGAGGATATGAAAGCACCACGGAGACTTTTGGCTCCCAGCCCACTGCTCAGACTTGTCTTACTTTGACATACCAGAAAGACACTGCATAAAAAACAACCAGCAAGAGCTCACTGCCATCTCAGAACATTTTGGGGTAAGAACATTTGAAGGGATTCAGGCAGTGCCTCTGGTATCCAGCATAAAGCTGCAGTCCCATCTATGCAGCGCTGCACAGGAGGTTATTCTGTGGAGCTCTTGGCCTCACCCCAGCATCACAACTGCAGGAGACACTGGATTTTGTCATGATCACACACACTGAACTGCTCAGAAAGTCTCAAACCAGCTCTTAGAGTAGTTTTCTCACCTACCCGCAGGCCCGAATCAGACATAATACCTTGAGCACATCTTCCACGCAGCTGCCAAGCTCTGCCTCTGTCACCAGCACGGTCCCTTCTGATAAATCTTCCACTGCTAGCTCTGAAAACAAAGGGCAGAAATATCAGCACTTTCATACTCTTGGGAGTCTCCAACAGAACAGCAACCCCACCATGCCCAGCACTGGAAAATACTTCCATAGTTCTCTTTGCTTCCCTCCATCAAGGTAGCATGGGAACCAATAAGCTCTCATTAGTTGTTCTAAGTATCACTACACTGTTGTAAACACCTCAAGATTACAAGCACATTAAAGCAGACCACAACTTCTTGATGGATTATTCCCTGGACAGCTGCTTGGTCACTGTGGGGAACCGATGGCTTCCATCTGGAAGCCCAAAACAAGACCATCAGACTGCAAGAGTTTCCCAAATAGCCCATGGCAGAAGCCCCAGTATTCAGCTCTTACACTACAGTAATTTGACTCAAGCGCCAGTACATGTGGTGCACCCAGCCACACAAACACATTCACAACTGGCAGAGCTGGGCCTGCATGCTCAGAAGCCCAGAAACCAGCCCAAGAAAATTCTGACTGAAAGACAAAAGATCACAGGGAAAACAGACTCTTCCCTGATGAGCCGGTACCTGCTGTCCCTGAACATCGCAGCAGCGGTGCCAGCAGGGGCTGGAGCAGGTACTTCTCTGCCAGCTGAGGGTGCTCTCTCACCATGGTGAGCAGCGTCGTGGTGGCCACACGCTGGAACTGGCGCGCTGTCAGCTTGTCCTGGATGTGCAGCAAGTCCAGAACCTGGAAGGAAAGTCCAGGATAAAAGAACAAAGATCATCAGCCCCTCAGATGCGGCCAGCCCGGCTTCTTGCAGCCAACAGCAGATCAAGGAGTCTCCAATGGAGCTGGATATTAGGCACAACATTCCACGTGCCGTTCTCCTTCCCATGTGCATGTTAACGCGGGATGAGTTTCTGGCTCAAATCAAGCGCCTGCACCACTCCCATAGCCAAAGGCTGGAAGCAAGAGCTCCACAGCAGAGAGCTTCTTGTAGCGCAGTGCTGAACAGCTCGTGCCATCAGGAAACATTATGCAGCACTTCAATCAAATATGGAAAATTCAGGAGTAGGGAGGAAACACATTCCACTGCCAGAGCAGCAGAAACACAACTCCACGTTGTCCTGGCTTGAGCCAGGCCACACTCAAGCTGATGTGACAGTACCAACACTCTCCAAGCAGGGAACTGGCTCCGCATTCCCAGCCAGAGCCTGAAGGGAAGGGACAAGATGGACCTACCTGGGGGCACACCAGACTGTAGTACTCCTGGAGGGAATGGCACTGCTGTGGGCAGGAAGCCAGGATCTTTGCAACCGCATCACATTTTCTCCAGTCCACAGCTGCTGCCTCAGCACCAGCGCCACCTGCTACGGCAGCAGAGCCAAGATCAGCTCCAACCGAAAGCAAACAGCACTGACAGATTTGGCTGAAGCCAGATGTTTCTGGCCAAAAAAAAAAAAAAGGGCATTTCTAGCTTTTATTACTCTCTTTAACCATGCATCTTTCAGGAAACACCTCAACTTAATGACAGAAAAGGGAAAAAATACTATCCAAGACATCTGATAATGAAAAACAGCTTCTGCAAATAGGTGCGTGAGCCAAAAAGTAGACGGAAGTCGTGCTTGGATGGTGTCATCAGGTTGGTACTGGCTGGAGGTGGCTCTGGCACTAAAAACCGTGGTACTCAGCTTTTAGAGAGCAACAGTTTCCCTCCCTGGCAGCACACATAGAGCAGGAGAGCAAGGCTGCTGAGCCCCAGAGCAGGACAGGTCTCAGTGTAGCTGCTCACAGCCCAGCACCAAGCACAGCTTGCAACAAACCACCACTGGCACAGCTCCTCAGAATGAACACACACAAGCTGTCACCCCATGGAAGTTCATGAGGCTAAACAAGTCCAGGGGCTTTCGGTCTGGACCTCAAATGTGATGGTGTACCCCAAACTAAAACCATTTGCGTTGGAAGGCATTCACCATTTGGGAGTTCAGCATAGCCAGAGGCAAAATCTGCGTGTATGTGACAAAGTCAGCCTGGCCTGGCAAAAGCCGTTTCTCATTTCAGTATTCCGATGGCACTGTCTTTTTTGGGCCTCTTGTGGGATGAAACATCTCAGACACATCATCACAGTCTCTTTTAACCTGCAACCCTGGAAGCCAAGAGCAGTGTCACAGCACCCTACTCACCGCCTGTTCCCTCCATGATGCCCCGAACTACTGCCTGAACCCCACTGGGTCTCATCAGCCTCTGGGAGAGCAGCTGACCACAGAGGCGCCGCAGCCATGCTGGGGCCCGCACAAGGGCCGGCTTTGTTTCTTCCCCAGGAGAGGGAGGACTCTGAAAGGAAACAAAGGAGCAGGGTAAGGGGCGTATCTGCACACCCCTGTGCAACCCCCCCCCGCCCCGGACAGGCAAACAGCCTGCACCCTGCCCTGCAGGACTGTGACCAGGTAGGAGCACAGGACAGAGAAAGGTTTTAAATAAATCACTTCTTCATCCAGCAGCACAAACCAAATTAAGGCTTAATGAGAAAGGCCAGCCTTCCCAGAAACAGCCCCTTGTGCAGCCCCTTTAATTAAGCCCCTCTCCTTAATTAAAGCCTCCCAGAGTCAGGCAGCAGTTCTGACTATCTCATTACCAGAATGAAGCACAGGGGGCTTGGGGGACACGTCAGGTTTGATGCAGGTAAGGAGTCTGCAGCAGTGATCCCTGCGAGGACGTGGCACACAGCACTGGGCTGCAGAGGTGGCACCATGAGCCCACAAGGTCCCCGTTTGAGCAAAGCAATCCCCCAGGACAGCACAAACAGCAGAGCTGTCAGGAGGCTACAGGCCCACAAAGTGAACTGACTGAATGAAGGTGTTTGCCTGGACACCCTGAGGAGACAGGCCAGCACCACTGCTTATGGGGATAGAAGAGAACATTTTCAGTTGGAAGGGACACTGATCATCTAATCCAACTGCCCGATTGCTTCAGGGTTGACCCAAAGCTACAATGTGTTACTAAGGGCATTGTCCAAAGTCAGCTTAGGATGTCAGCTCAGCTCTTGTTTAACCATGAGACCCCTGCTTTTCTGCAGTAGAACCACAGTGTGGACTGCGAGAAAGGCCCTGCACAAGCAAGCACCTCGTACAGACCCTCTCCATCCCTCGCAGGTGGGACAGACAGCTTCTGCCTTTGGGAATCACTGTGATCCCAGCTGGAGGGTCAGCATGTGGCACAGAGCTGCACCGGAGCCAGTGACCCTGCACTACCTGTGTCCTGACCCCAAACCATGACATGGCAGGTGGGCACACGTGCGCCCACAACACCCTTGGAGCAGGGATGTGTGCCCCTTTCCCCAAGGACTTTCTAAAAGCAATGCTAAGATTTCCCATCTCCTCCTCCCCACCACCACGAGGCAGCCTTTGAAATGGCCTCAAGCATCAGCCGGTGCTAAGGCAGCACCATTTTGCTCCCCTCACATGGAGAGGGGCAGGTTTTGGAAGAGCAGGCGCTTTGCTTGGCCAGGCAGAGTGATAGAACTGCCAAGCCAAGGCAGCGTGTGCTGTGACGAGAGATCACACTCGCCCACAGCCCCGTGCAGGAGGGCCTGAGCTGCTGCCACGCAAGCAAAGCACACCCAGCAGCTTCGCCTGTGCGTTCACACAGCAGCCGGGGACCAGCGCGCTTCACTTGCCTGGTTCGTAAGCTGTGACTCCCTGCGCCTCCGGGTACCTGCTTAGGCCGTCCCTGCAGGATGAGCAGCTCCCGCACCGCCAGCGGCTGGTAGACGCGGTCCAGGATGTGCCGCAGGGTTTCCCGGCATTGTGCTCGCTCTGCTTCCGAAACACCCTGTTCAAAACAAACCCCAGGGTGGTGAGGACACCGGCATCAAACCCGCTGGTCCTGACTCTGTGCCGGTGCCCCTCCAGCCCC